ATTGTTTCTCCCTTATCATCCTTTTAGTGTCTGTGGGGTTTTAGTCATATCCTCACTTTAGTTACTGTGTCTTCTCTCTTTTTCATTGTTAGTTTATCTAGAGATTTATCAGTCTTATTAATCCTAAAAATAACCAGTTTTTAGCTTCATTGATGTTCTCCTTTCAATTTTATTGATTTCTGCTCTTGTTTTTATTATTTTCTCCTTGCGCATGCTTTTATTTAGGTTTATTTTGCTCTTCTTTACTAGTTTCTTAAAGTAGAAGACCATACAACTGATTTTAGATTATTCTTATTTTTTTAAATGTTCCTAATATGAGCGCTGAAAGCTATAAATTTCTCTCTGATCACTTACTTAGTTGCATACCATAAGTTTTGATATGTTTCTATTTTCATTTTTGTTTAGTTCAAAAAATCTTCTAATTTCCCTTGAGATTTCTTTGGTTCATGGATTATTTTTAGTATGTTGTTTAATTGTTAACTATATGGAGAATCTCCAGTTATCATTCTGATACCAATTTCTAATTTAATTCCATTATTTACAGAGAACATCCTTTGTATGATTTCAATTCGCTTATATTTGCTAAGGTTTGTTTCATGACCAAGATCGTAGTCTATATTTGTGAATGTTACATATACACTTGAAAAGAATGGGTATTTTGTTGCTGAGTAGAGTGTTTTATGGGCCAACAATTAGATCCAGTTAATTGATCGCAATGTTCAGTTCTTCTGTATCTGTGCTTCTCATCTGTGGGTAATTTTGCCCCCCAGTGAACAGCTGGCAATGTGGAGAATTACTGGCATTTATTGGGTAGAATCTTCTGGCCTTCTGCTGTTAAACATCCTTCGATTCACAGGACAGGCCTTCTGCCCATCACAACAAACAATAAAGAATTATCTGGCCCAAAAAAGTCAGTAGAGGCAAGGCTGAGAAACCCTGTTCCTTGCTGACTCGATTTGTACTATTGATTAATGAGAGATAAGTATTGATGTCTCCAATTCTATTAGAATAATAACATATATTTTATAAATAAATCATCAATCTATATTACAGATTTGTCCACTTCTTTCAGTTTTATCCATTTTTGCTTCATGTATATTAAAGTTCTGTTGTTAAGTAATAGACATTTAGGATTTTTGTATCTTCTTGGTAAGGGGTTCCCCTTTTATCATTATGTAGTATTCTCCTAAATTGCAGGTAAATATTCATGCTCTGAAAAATACTCTGATATTAATAAAGACACTACAGTTTTCCTTTAGTGTTTGCATAGTATGTCCTTTTCCAAGCTTTTAGTTTAAATTCCTTTAGTTTATTTAAAGTGAACTTCTTATAGATAGCATATAATTGGGTCTTTTGTATTATCTATTCTGATAATTATGTTTTTAATTGATGTGTTTAAGCTATTTTCATTTGATATAAGTGTTCTTGTTTGTATTTAGGTTTGCCATTTTAATAGTTATTTTCTGTTCCATTTCCCTTTCCCTGCTTTCTTGTAGATTTTTTAAACTTTTTTCTTACTATTTCATTTTAATTTATATACTGAGTTTTTAACTATGTCTCTTTGTATATTGTTTGAGTGATTGCTCTGGAGATTAAAATATACAAACTTAACTTTCCACAGCCTACTTAGATTTCATTTACCTCTTCAAAAGCAATGTAAAAGGCTTACCTACCCTACAGGCCTCATTAACTTCCCCCATCGTCTAGTTGTCTTATGTATTTCATCTACATACATAAAAACCCCATCAGACGGTGATAAATTTTGCTTTCAACTGTCACTTATATTTAAAGAACTTAGAGAAAAATAGTCTATTTTTCCCCAAAATTTACCATTTCCATTGCTCTTCCCTTTATTCTCAAGTCCAAGTTTCTCTCCATTATCGTTTCCCTTTCATCTGAAGAAATTCCTTTAAAAAACTCCTTTTATAGCAGCAAACCTAGGGGCAAATCCTTTTATTTTTCATTCATCTGAAAATGTCATTGCTTGGCTTTCATTCATCAAGGATGCCGGCATTCACTCTCCGGTGACCCTTTTTTTCTTTCAGCACATTTTCTCCAGTACCTCTGGCTTCCATGGTTTCTAACGAGAAACTTGTATTTATTTACATAGTTGGATCCTTGTAGGTTATGTGTCATTTTTCTCTGATAAGTTTTTTTCTTTGATTTTGAGCAGTTTGATTATGTCTGAGTGTGGATTTCTTTGAGATTATTTATCCTGTTTGGAGTTCAATGAACTTCTTTCATCTGTAATTTTTATGTTTTTCCTACTGTTGGGGAGTTTTTAACCCGTTTTTCTTTCAAATATATTTTCTGCACTACAGTTCTTTTTCTCCTCCTTCTTCCAGGACATATGTCTATATTGATATTGGTTTCTTTCTTAGTAGGCAATCACAGGCTGCAAGTTCTGACATAACTTCTGTAGATTCTGCGGTTCTAATATCCGTTCAGTTGTCAAAAAATTTACAGTGTTATTCATCAAATCAGTCCCTCCTGTTGCCACCCGGGTGCCAGTCTGGAACCTGCACAGTGGTCTCTTAGCTCAGTTCTCAAAGCCTTTGGGCTCAGTGTTTGGGATTAGGCACTGACGACCCTGTTCAGGGTTTTTTTCTACACACAGGCAGCTCAGGGCGCACCCTGGAGTTCATACACAAGTTTAGTAAACTCCCTCCTCTTTGCAATCTCCCCAGTACTTTGTGGTTCCCAGGAGTGGCTCCACCTCCTTGATCTTTAGGAGTTTTGCTTTCTAAATGTGCTGTATACTTCCTGCCACTGTTTCTGCCTTCAGGGCCAAGTGGCAGTAGGATAGTGAGGAAAAAGCAGACTTCATGCTCTTGGGACCAGAGTTTGGTCAGGAACCATGGCTGTCCCCTCTCAGAGTTGTAGGTGCCTGCCTGGCCTCCTCCAGTGATATAGGCCCGCCTGGGGCTGAGGCAGGAGAGAATGGAAAAAACAAATCGGGAAAACCCAGGAGCTCTCCCTCACTCTCCCTGACCCAGCAGGACCCCTTTCTTGATCCTTGGTCAGAGAGGCTTTCCTTGGAAAGCTTCCTGTCACCACTAGTGCAGAGTTGGTCTTACTTTTGAGTTACTTCTCCAGGCTGTCTGGTACTATTTATCTTCAGAGTCCTCAGATAGCTGCCCCATTATGTTCTGTCCTGCACCCTTTGTGACATTCAATGGGTGGGACAGCTTACAGTGCACTTACTCCATCCCAACTATGACTGGAGCCCAGTTTTCACTTTTAAGCTGCTTTATCCCCACTGGGTTCTCAGAGCTGCATGATAATAGAACCTTTAATACCAGTGAGCATCGTTTTGTCTTTGTAACCAGCCACCTGTGCCAGAATGTGGTTGCCAAAGGCTACGTTCGGGGTACAAGGCCTGCTTGAAGGAAGATTAATGCTGCTGAGAGCTGAGATTTACTCTGGTTTGCTATGCAGACTCTATCCATCCTGGGAGGCTCTGATCCTGTAGGACTTGCACAGGGTGGGACCTTCTTACCTTCAGTTAGGAGGGGCAATGCTGTGATTTATTTAGCATGTGAAAGACAATTTTTTGCCTACTCTCTGACCCTGAGGATTATTGAGGAAAATATGATAAGCTCATATAGCCCGATAGCTGGTGGTGCATCATGTGTTATATAAACTTGGCTCCTGATAAACAGCCTGAATGATGACGTGTAGAAACCACATAGCCTGTCTCCCGCCCACTCCCATGGGGAGCCAGGAGGAGTGCAGGCTTTTGTCTCCTGAAAGCACGCTTCTCTCTGGTGTTGGAGCTTGGTCCAAGACAGAAAATCAGCAAGCTCGAAGCACTGAGTTTTAGAAAAGAGGCTCTAGAATACGACAAGATAGCTAACATCTGCTTCCTTGCCATAGAACTTTCTCACTCCAGAGTCTCCTCTCTTTATAATGGGGATAATCCTACAGATCTTACTTTATTGTCAAGGATTAAAATCAGCATATGGAAAGTTCCTGACAATAACAAATAATAGTTAATATTACTCAAGCTCTTACTCTGTGCCCGGCACTGTCATAAGCACTTTATAGTTCAGGTAGTTTACATTCCCTGAGAGCTCTATAAGGAGGCTGTTTTCACAAATGAGGAAACTTAGGCATTGAATCTTTAAAAAAATCATTCATGGTAGAAGTGGGCTTCTATACCAAGCCTACCAAGACCAGAATCTAGCCATCACTCTGTATATTTTACTTCTCTATCCAGCAGTCAGAACTATTATCACACCTGTGGGTGGAGAGATGTCTACAGTTGAATTGCAGTGTTAAGGATGTGAGGGGAGGAAGGGAAGGAGGGAGGAGGTAGAAAAGGCATAATTCTCTTGTAAGTTCTGGCAGGCTCAACTCTGGCTCCCTCTGCGCCCATGGACATGGTGTAGGGACATCCTCTTGCTTATGGGTTGAGCTTGACTTTCCTGTGGCCCTGAGGTTACAGAAGCCAAGCCCTGACAAGTTCCTCTGGGAGGCTGGAGAGGTGAAATACACAAGTCATTCTTAACTCCCATCCGATTCCCTCATATCCACCCAGGCTGTGTTGAGTTTAAGGACTCAGCAGCCCCATTCTAGGCACTCATGGAGAAAGCTAAAAAAATACCAGATTTATGTGAAGGTCTGGGAAGTGGCAGGTATCCAAGAAGACACACCATGCATGTGTACGCTCACATGTGCACACATATCTTTTGGGGGAGGAGGGACATGTGAAAGTCCAGAACAATGGAGAGATGGCTAAGGGAATGGCACAGCCAGAGGGCACTGAGCATCCCTCAGCCCAACCTGCTGCCCATTTTACATCTGAGAATACTGAGGTCTGAAGAGGGCATTCAATTTGCTGAAGATCTTTAGCTGGGTTCCATCCACGGACACCTGAGTTTCTTTCCATACTCCTCTTTCTCTCCTTTTAACTATTAGAGGGTAAAGCATCATAATCTGGGGGGAGTCCAGGACCCTGAGGTCATCTTCTAACTAGATATTTTTTCTTTTCTTATCAGAGTCCATCTTCTAGCAGTTTCATGTGACTTTCCTCAAACTGATCACCAACTAAACAAAATAACCCTCCTCAAACATTTAAAGGAACATGGCTAAAGGTGGCAAACGCCCCAAAGGCAAGAAGATCACCCTCAATGTGGCCAAGAATTGTATCAAAATCACATTTGATGGGAGAAAACGCCTTGATTTGAGTAAGATGGGAATTACCACCTTTCCCAAGTGTATTTTGCGATTCAGTGACATAGATGAGCTGGATCTTAGCCGGAATATGATCAGGAAGATCCCTGACTCAATCTCCAAGTTCCAGAACCTGCGGTGGCTGGACCTGCACAGCAACTACATTGACAAGCTCCCTGAGTCCATTGGCCAGATGACCACCCTGCTCTACCTCAACGTCAGTAACAACAGGCTGACCACCAGTGGGCTCCCTGTGGAGCTCAATCAGCTCAAGAACATCCGCACCATTAACTTAGGCTTAAACCACCTGGACAGCGTGCCCACTACGCTGGGCGCCCTGAAGGAGCTCCACGAGGTGGGCCTCCATGACAACCTGCTCAGCAACATCCCCAAAAGTATCTCCAAGCTCCCCAAGCTGAAGAAGCTCAACACGAAGCGAAACCCCTTTCCAAAGGCAGAAGAGTCAGACACATTCATAGATTCCATCAAGAGGCTGGACAACCTCTACCTGGTGGAGGAGAAGGACCTGTGTGGGCCTTGCCTGAGAAAATGCCAACAGGCCCGGGACAAGCTGAACAGAATCAAGGGCATGGCCATGCCAACGCCGAGAAAGGCCAACTTTTCCAGTTTGATCTCACCCAACTCCATAGCCAAGGAGTCCCAGAAAGATTGGAGGTGACCTGGACCCTGACCTTGAGGCAGAAAGGGAAAAAGGAGGGAGAGAAGATAGCAGTAGCTACATCCACAGGCACTTGAGGGATCCCCCCTTCCTGAAATAGCTCCACCAGTCAAGCCCATAAAATACCTTTCCCTACCTCCTTGGCTTGTGATTTTGTTGACTGAAGGCTTCTAGTTTTTGCCATTCCATGTTTCTGTCTTCTCTGCATGCACATACCCACACATCAAGGAACAGTGAGTTAGAAGGGGGCCCTTCATCTCACTTCTCCTGCCTTCAACCCATACCCAGGCAGGGACCAAGGCCAGCACACCCTTAGTCTCATTATCACATGTTTCATGAACACCTGCCAGCTCCCAAATGTGGAGTTCATTCTATGGGAATGTTTTGGCTCAGGACTACAAAGGTCAGGGATCTCAGAACATGGGTTAGGAAGAGGGCATATGGACATTTAGTCTTGGAAAGAGGACAAAATTGGGCCATAGAGATGGACAGATATTATCATTAAGTACTGGCAGGCAACATCTTAGATTCAAAGCAGTACCTTTCTCTTATCTGTGCTTGCATAAGTTGCCCTAGGGGTTTCCCGACTAAACCTGCAGGCCCTTGACTGGCTGTGAATGAAGGAGGTTGCACTCCCATATTATTACATCCAGTGCTTTTCCTGACCCCTGTGGGAGTAAGGAGAGAATGGGTACCTCTGTGGGTTGGTGCAGTCACAAAATAAATGCCTCACTAGGCATTGTGCTAGGTGTGCTGGGTGCAGAAACTGGACCAATGGGGGAAAGCTTGACTTGCTCTGTGCTGCCCAGAGGGAAGACCAGTTGAAAGAAGGCAGGGCAAAGTGTCATTGTCTGAGGAGGTTGGGAGACTGGGGCCAAGTGGTGTGCAGGGATGGCCTGGCATAGAGAAAAGCCAGAGATTCTGGAGTTGGGCACTTGTGAAATGAGAATAACACCTGCCTCCACTCTAAAGGCTGTTTGCATCTCAGCAGATAGCACACCAAGCGAGCACTCAACAGCAGTCAGCTTTCTCTAAGAACTGGGGCTTGGTGTGTCTCAAAGCTGAAATACTGCTTTGGACAGTGTCCCTAGTCCCATTAGATATTTTGGCAGGATGACTGTGGTAGAGCCAGTCCTCCCAGGAGCTGAGAATCTTCTCTGTACCTATCACTCACACCTTCATACTGCCTAAGAGGGTACAGGAAGAAACCTTCAGGGAAGTTTGTTTTATTGTTTTATTTTTAATTAAAGTTTTTCTGCATTGGTGGTAAGTTTTATAGTGGTCAGTGGGAAAGCACTAAGAAATAACCACCTCTTCTGCGGGACTAGCTTATTTCTCTTTTATGTTATAAACCATAGTGGACTGCACACTTCATTTCTTCACCCTCACTGCTTACTCTCCTCTGCAATGCTCAGTTGTGACAACTCTGTTATATTTATAAAATCTCTGAAGTTAGGGATTCAAAATTCCCTTTGCAGTTATCCCCTTAATTAAATGTTTTCCATTATAAAAGTAACAAAGCCATAACATAGTTTTAAATATAACAGTTGAAAGCATCACAATTCTATAGTATAAGTCAACTATAATATTGACAGATTTCCTTACTAGTTATTTTTCTGTGTATATTTTTGTATGTAGTTAAAATTACAGAATTCATGTCATGTTTATCCTGCTTTGAACTCATGTTGTTACATGGCCTTCATAACCATAACACAAGACATCTGTGAGACAGTTAGATGTGGATATGTAGAACTATAAGTTACTGGTGGGCATTTAAGTTATTTTCAGCTTTCCACTAATAGAAATAGTATCATAATGACAGCCTGTATGATCAAGATTTTTAAAACATTTTGCAGTATTTCCTTGGTATAATTTCATAATTGCAAATACTGTGTTAAAGGATATGTTTTTAAAAAATACTTTTGGATACAGGCTATCAGGTAGCTTCTAAAAAGTTTATAGACATTTATATATCTACCAGTAATATATTAGAGAGCCTGTTTCACTACATCCTTGCCACTATTGAGTTTTTCCTTCATTTAATGTCTAAAATGATTCATCAGAAGCCTTTCCTAAGATGAATGGTGCACTCATGCCTGTGAAGTGCATGGAACGTCATGCCTTGGGCTCAGGAGCCACCACTGGTATGTTGGGCCTTGAACATGTCTTTAAGGTAGCCATCCTGCTCCTTCAGCTACTTCATCTCTGTCCCAAAAAGTCCAGAAGCCATGCAAGGGCATATGATCCACACAGAGAGTGGTGGCTGGTTATCCAGACACTGCCCATCTTCCCCCTTAAGACACTTTATCTTTGGATTTAGCATTCCCTGCTTAGTCACTCAAAAGGTTCAGCAAAGAGCAGGAGTTAAGAACAAAGATCTCCCTGTGCCCTTAGGGAGGATCTTGGTCTAGACCCTGGATTTCCCCTTGCTCGCCCTCCTGCTCCAGCACAGCACACATCCCCACCGGGCTTGGTCCCCCCAATCCTTCTCCAGGAGCCTCTTGTGGATTCACTGGCAAATGAGTAGTTGGCATGTAAGATGACATTTATTCACCATCCTTGATCTAGGTACTTTACTATGCTTGCATTCTTAAAGCTGTTTCAGGAAGGGTTTTAAGTGCACTGAACTTCACTGGGATTGAGAAATAAATGGACAAGGCGCTTTGATTTGTCACAGGATACATTCACATTACACAGCTTGTCAGGCAGGACACCTGGCAGCAGGATGAAGTGCAGACCAGAAATTGGGATCACTTAGGAGTCCCTTTCTACTGTCAAGGAAGAGGTTTGGTGTAGATGTTTTCCTTCATGCTCTAAAATATCACAGTCACCTTTACTTCCTGGAAATTGTATTAAAGCCTAAAAACACTTGATAGGAAAATCATGGGGTTTCTGTTCCCTCAAACAGAATAAAAACCCTATTCACACTAACCCAGTGATCACCCTCTCTGAAAGCCAAACATGATCTAGATGACCCCTGTGTGACCTCTATACTTGTTGTGCTTCCCCTTTGTGACCTGGAAGAATTGCTCAGCCTCTGTGTCTCCATCCCTAGGATACGCTCACCATCCCTAGGGCACTGTATGGCAAAAATGTGAAGACTAATCAGCTAACAAGAAAAAACACCTCTGAAGAAGAAAACCTCTCAGTTAGGAGAAGAGAGTGGCAAGGAGAATATTCTGGAAGTCAGGAGCTCTGGTGCTGGCCAAGCCACTGACTTGCTTCTTAAATTCACTTTGCCTCTCTTTTTGCTTTAGACCATCTGTGTGTGAAATGACTTTGGGAAGATGTTTGGTGTGTCTTTTTTTTAATGTATATGAAGAAATGATAGATATAAATTATAGATGAAGTCAAGATTTAAAATAAGACTCTAAGATTTTAAAGACTTCCAGTCTCTACACTTCACTCAAACTGGCAAAATCTTAATACCAGTCACCTGTGATAAGTTAGGTATGTATAATTCACTATCTTGGGCAACTAAAAGTTATGTAAAAAATGCAAAGAAATATGCTCAGAAGTGCTACAGATAAATCAAAATGGAATTTTAATGAATCTTTCAGTAGTGGTAGTCAGGAAAAAGATAACAGAGAAATGAACAACAGGGAAAAAATAGGAAACAAATAGGCAGACTTTTGTCCTAATGTTTTAATAATGTAAATAATCTTCTTCATATGGCCCTAAACAAATAACAACCATACTTGCCTCAATAGGCAAATGGTTGATGGTTAAACAAGCCCTGGTCCATCCATATCATGGAGTACAACTCAGAAATTGAAAGGAACATACTATTAATATGTGCAATAAGTTGGATGGATCTTAGTGACATTATTCTGAGTAAAAAAGGCCAGTCTCCAAAAGTCACATATTCTATGATGCCATTTATAGAACATGATCTAAATGACAAAATGATAGAGATGAAAAACAGATCAGTGGCTGCCAGGATTCACGGTTGCTGAGGGGCGATAGAGGACAGGCATGACCAGAAAGCCGTAGCACAAGAGATGCATTTGTGCTGATAAAAACAACTGCGCATGTGGATAGGGGTGGTGGTTACATGAATGTACACATATGATAAAATGACGCAGCTCTATGCAGACATGCTGGACCAATGCCAGTGTCCTAGTTTTGAAATTGTCCAATAGTTACCTCATATGTAACTGTTGGAGGAAATTAAGAGAAGGCTGCCTGGGTTCTCTGTGTATTATTTTTATAACTTTCTATGAATCTGTATTCATTTAAAACAATCTTACAGCCTAGATGGAGCAATAAACAGATCCTTGTATACCTGCCAAGTGCTAATTTATGAGTAACTGAGGCAAGCTTGAAGTTCCTCAACCATTCTGAACAGTTAAGGCATTTCAGGAGAAACAGCATCTTAACCTCAGTTTACCAGACTCATCTAAAATTATCCACTATTGATCTTGTCCTTAAAGATTCTGGAGAAAGATGTTAAAATAATTAAAAGAATATGCATGGCTTCTCTATCGATGTCCCAGCTTCTCTGGTGGTGCTTTGGGCTTGAGCAGCAAGTGGGGTTGGGAAACCTGAAGCAGTGAGTTTCTCCCTTCACAGTTCTGGGTTTTCACACTCCTGCTCCCTGTCCCCCATGGAAACCACATGACTGAGCAGAGCTGGAAGGATAAAGGGGGTAGGCTTAGTGCAAAGAGCAGGGATTAATTTAGACTTCTGTATAGAAATGGGTCTAAAGCCACAGCTAAGAAGAGAGCTAAGAGGAAACGTGACAAGAAACCTGAAGAGTTACACAGATGGGACCCAAAACCAAGGTCTGTATGACCCAGGCAGAGCTCACTATGGGCCACTGACTCTGCTGCCCATGGTCCATTGAGCCAACCATGGGAAAAACTCCTAAACGCAGGGGCTTTGGTAACCCCACCAGGGTGCTAGTTCACCTCTGACTCCAGACCCTGCCCTAGAGCCCAGGGTCTGAGTTTTGCTGTCTCTACCATTGCCCTCCCAGGGCTGTGCTGTACCAAGAAGGCCCAGGAGCATGTTTCCCTACTCGGTGGTGGAGCTGAGCTGTCTTGTTAATCAAAGTTATCACATACAGTACAGAATTTTAGCCTCCCAGTTAGTCACAGTTTTGACCTCTGGAGGGTAGGACTGAAGGAGCACAAGTGAGGAGAAAGGGTACTTGAATCTTAGCTCCCATGCTGCCCACAGGGGTGCCTCTGGGGTGTGACTGGTTCTCATGGAGGATCATCTTCTATGGGAATTTATAGCATCTTATGGTTGGTTTTCTAAGTTCTGTGCATTTCATTATTTTTCAAACATAATCTATAAAAGAAACTTAACAACACTCAACCACAGACCTTGCCCAAAACGAATTTCATTCTGAACACATTTAAATAAGCTACACAATTGAGAGGGCCCATTTCAGAAATTACAAATGCCCAGATGCACCCAGGCCCCAAATATAAGTGCTGCCTCATACCCAACAGCCTCCTCCAGCCCAGGTACACTTTTGCCTCGATGACGTGGCTAGTGAGCACTTCAGACCTTGTCAGAAATCACAGCTTTGGAAAGATGCCCATTTAAAGACATGTGCTGTGCACAACAGAGATTTAAGAGAGGAAGCGTCACATAGGCTTCTAGCCTTGTATTTTCTGAGTCTTCTAAACTCTGGGCCCAGTATGAACTGACATTGCTGGGAAGCAATATAACTGAGCCAGATCATGCTAGTGCCCTAAAGAAATGTCTGGACAGAAATAAGTCCAAATATTAGGGCCATGCTTTTTCAGAGAATCAATGTAGACAATTACTTTCTGTGGTGTTCTTTTTTTCATATTTTATAAAAAGGGAATTGTCTTCTTTGGCACCCATTACCCTCAGACAAGGACAAATTTGATATTCAGTTTACGAGAAAATATGCTTCAGAAGAAAAAGTACACAAAACCCTCTGTTTCTTGTTATCTGACACTGAAAGATGGTCTAACCCAGAACAATTGTTTTGTTTTTCTTAGTTTTGGGACAATTAGAGTAACTAGGTTGCTCCAGGTACCTGAAGACATCTATTTTTTTCTCCTTTAAAGGAGTTTTAGGGTAATTTTTAAAGAATCATTGTACTGTGCATTTTTCATTGGGAAGCTGTTTCAAACCCTTGTGGAAGTATAACCTGAAGTGGAAAAATGTGTGTTTATTCACATGTGCATTCTCAGCTAGCTGCCCTTTCCTGGAACTTCAGCTATCCATCCTAGTTTTCTGACTCGTCCCCCTCACATCTCAGCCCAGCCTTCCTGTGCCTCACATCATGGAGCTTTCTGGCTCACAGACACTTATCCAAGGGGTCTAGCTGGCTTTGTGTTAGAAGCCCCTGTAGGCTTGCAGTGCCTTGTACCCCACAGATGTCTGGTTATATTACCATGCTGCCTTCAGAATGATCTAGTCTTGTGCAATGGACAGGCACAGATGGATTACAGATGCCAGATCCATCCAGGCTTTGCAAGTATTTTCCACTTGAAATCCAGGCCCACATAGCATCCTTGGAACTCAGTTATGAAAGTTCCCATTGTCACTGAAACTCTAGGCAAAACTCTGGTACCCAAAAGCTCTGGTTTTGTGCATGTGGGGGATGGCCTGCAGAGGGGCCAAATCAGCCATCAAGAGCTGGGGGCTGAAGAGATGAAGCACAGGCCAAATGTCTTGGGCCAATTGAAAACCCTCAGAATGGACTGCACACCTCCTTCAGAAATGAGAAGCTCATGTTTAGCAGTGTATCCAAAAGGCAGCAAGGAATTTTTCAAGACTTTTTGTATGAACTGGGCATTGCCCTTGGTTATTCAAATGGCAAATGACTGAAGCTGTTCTAGGCATGGGTCAACAGCCAGCCAAGCCCCCCTATGGCTGGGGCCACCGTTGCCTTCCCTCCCTGCAGCTCCTGAAGGCACAGTGTGGCTGATGGGGGAAGGTCTGGAAAGGCTGGATGCAAAAGAGCTGAGAGCTCAGTCACCTGTTTTCAATCAGTTGTTCTATAACCATGCCCCAAATACATAGTAGGTGATATTCTAAAGCTAAGCAAAGGGATTACAACATTTATCGAGCACCTACTATGAGAGCAAATCAGTTTGATCTTGAAGTCAACAGCTGGCTGCGGCAGGCAGCATAGTCTCGCCTCGTGCCCTGGCTGTTTGGGTGGTCTCCAAGCCTGGGACCAGGGCTCCCACTGGGGCTCCCTCACTTTGTCAAAGCTCACCTTCCATGAGTTTAGATAAGCATTTCTCTGGAGCAATTTTCATTTGACCCAATTGACCCCAGCGGCTTTCCTATTTTATACTCCCCAAGGGTCTCTGCGCAGGGAGCTGCTCTGAGGCTGTGCCCTGAAGGCATAGAATGGCCCTGGAAGATCCTGTTCTGGTGGGCTCAGATGATCAGGATGGAAAAATAAATACAATGGAAATAAAATCAGCACAGAGACCAGCTGTCCCACAGGTGCAAGGTGACACACGGGTTTGGTATCTAAGGTTGTCCTTGTGGATGACAGAGGAGTAACTTCTGCACATTTGACTCATCCCAAGCAGAGAATGATCTTTTTGCCACCTGGCAGTCATCTTTTGTACAAATCCCTCAACTTAGTGGCCAGAGATGAGGTTTCACTTCTGTTATGCATTCTTCCCTCTGCCCTCCTCTGTCTGTTCTCTCTCTGCCTGGGGCTGAACTAGATCACCTGTGTGGATGAACGGGTGCACTGCTGGGAAAGAGCACCTCTAAGACTCTGACAACAATGGAATGGGAATGGACAGAGGGCAACTCACAGCTGTAGGGACAGTTTCTTGACCACTGAGTGATACTACATAATACATTTGTAAGAAGGTGATCTGCAGAGACCAGTGGGGTTCGGTGAAGTTACTTATGTCAAAATTTACTCAAGAAGAGAAAGTTTCAGGGAGAGAGAAAAATGGATGAATGTTGTGGGCTACGGAGCCATCTGTATGGAGCAGAGGATGGCCATCTGCTTTTGGTGACCCCTCTTGTGTAAAAGAAGTTTGATTCTCTTGGGAGCCGCTCTCCTCTCAGTTTGGTCTATGTTGTTGGGTGTACTGACCCTACTTGCAGAAGGTGCATGGGCATAGGACCCTGAACTGGCCTATGAAAGCACTTGATGGGTGCTACTCAACTTGGGCAAATGAAAACCACTTTGGGGATTTTTGCTAACATTGCCAGGCCAAAGCATTCCTTGTGTGGCAGAATTTCTAACTGACTGACTGTCAGTCAGCCTGGAGCTGTTGGGAACTTTGATGACATTATGGAAGAGCCTGCTGAGAACACAGCCAAGCTAGAGGGAATCCTCACTATGAGATGGAGAGCCAGAGCATCCTATGGACTTACTGAGTCCAGAGGTGCAGCCATATCTAGAGCCAGGCTTTTTCTTATCTTCAGGTATGTGAGGTAATGAATCCTCTTTTTTGCTTCAGTCAGTTTATACCAATTGTGCTGAAACATTGCAAAGAAATCCAATTGTGGACATTAAAGTTTATGTGAAACATAAATAATATGGTTTCATCAGGACTGATACTCACAATTAGGGCTGTACCATCACTGAGTTATTGAAATATGCCATTCCAGTTGGTAAGCAAGTATACTCCCTTCAGTGGCCCGCAGCTACCCAGACCTCCTAGACCATCCCCTGGCATGTCCTGTACTTCCCTACAATCTACCAACTACAGGGTTACTGCCTGACAAACAGAGAGCCTTTGCTAGCAGCCACTCCAACTGGTCTTTTGAAGGTCATCAGTGCCCCGTGTTGCAAAATTTAATTGTCTTTTCTCAGTTTCTGTCTTATTTGGGCTTCCGACAACTTTTCATCATCAACACGGTTGTCCACTCTTGAAACCCTTTACCTGGCTTCCAGGACGTCTTCTATACCTACAGTTCCTCCTACCTTTCTAGGTACAACTTCTCAATCTCTTTTGCTGGCTCCTCCCTATGTCCTTAACTTCTGAAGCTTGGCATGCCCTAAGGCACCAACCGTAAACCTCTTTTCCATGAACACTCATTCTCTTGGTGATTTTATCCAGGTTTGCAGCTTTAAATACTACTTCATATTTACATCTCACTGTTAAACTCCAAATTTATATATTCAATGGCCTACATGATATCTCTACCTGGATGTCTGATAGGCATCTTGAAATTGATATGTCCAAAACTGAGCTCCTGATATCCATCACATTCCCAAATAATTCATCCCGTGGTCTCTTCCCCATTTATTTTCCAACTGCTCAAGCCCAAGTTCTTGCTCTTATCCTTATGTCCTCTCTCTCTCACATATGCATACTCCACAGTTGATTTGTCAACAAATCCCATCAGACATACCTTCAAAACATGTCTATCATCCAAGCACCTCATGCAATCTTTGCTGTCACCCCCTGACCCAAGCCACCAACATCTCTCACCTGGGTTACCACAAAAGCCTCCTAACCAGTCTCCCAGCTTTTGCCTTTGACCTACTCTGGTCTGTTCTTGACAAAGAAGCCAGAGTGATTGTTGAAAAATATAAACTAGGTCACATCATTTCTCCAATACTTCCCGTTGATTCACACTAAAAGCCAACACTATTACAAGGAGTCCCCCAGGCTTCCTTGCACTAGCCCGTTACCTCTGGCCCCTTGGCTGCCAGCACTCCAACCACTCTGGTCTCTGCCCAGCCCACTATGGTCCTCCTCAAGGCCTTTGTTTTGCTTTCTCCTCAGACTAAAATACTTTTCCTAGTATCTGCATAACTTGTTTCCCCACACTGTTCAAGCCTGAATTCAAATATTGCTTTCTGGTAAGGGTTTTCCTTACCAAGCTAAGATTTCACTCATTTATCTCTATCTACTTTGTTTTTTTGTACTTGTACCTATAATCTAACATGCTTTATATTTCACTCATTTAAATAGTTTTCTGTCTATCTTCCTCATGAGAATATAAAAGCAATAAGGACAGAGGAGATTTTGAGTATTTTGTTTGTTGTTCTGTCAAGCAGCAAACACCACATGTAACAAACTATCGATAAATAATTTTGAATGACTTGGTGGTACCCATTCCATAGTCATTACAAATATTTTGAATGTCACTCCTGGGACACCCCTGTGCACCATATCTCCACACAATGCTAGGAAAAAACCACAACCATCTTCCTCTATTCTTATTCCTAACTGATTTAAAAGCACTTACTCATCCTGAATATGCCTTCTGGAGAACTGGGTACTTGTAAAGGGGGTCTTGGGAAGGGGATGTAAGCATTTTATTGCCTGGGAAAGGCATTCCATATCATAGCTTCATAAATTGCCATCTGATTCACACACCAGCATACATTCATTTAGCTGCTGACTTTCAGAGAGTCTCAGAGGAAAGACAGACCTGGGATCACTCATACTCTCAGCTTAGAGGCCTGATGCTAAGGCCTTCACGGGCCACCTGCCCCACCCACCATGGGCAGAGGGCTGCTTCCTGCTATTTTGGTCTGAAAAGGTCACAGAGCATATGGGATCTCAAGTCTGTTTATAGAGGTTTACCAGGCAAAAGGAATATCAGGAGTAGGATGAGGGATGTATGGGGAGGGAGAGTAAAAATAAAAGGGGGAGACAGGTGGATGTGCTCTCTGCATGACGTTTTTACAGTAGATCAGGCACATGGGGAAAACCAAAGCGAGGCCTGCAACGGCCCAGAGAAATTGGCTGGGCCCTCGCTGAACCCTTACCTTAGACTGAGGGGGTCCTCTGTGATGCCTTTTCCCTTCAGGCTGGGCTGGAAAGAGCAGAAGCTAAACAAAAAGGGAAAGAATAATTCTATCAGCAGAGTCAAGACTCTTCTGCCACCAGGGAGACATTTTTGGTGCCAGGTAAGAGGGTGGGTACATTCTTGCCCCTTCCCTGCCATTATGCCCCCAGGTTGTGTACACCAGACCTCTGAGGCACCCCCTCGGCACCCTCTGGCCTTACATACTCGGCCTTAATAACAATAAAACAATAGCTACAATAAATGCTCTGTGTTTTAGATCCCTCCTCTGGGCCCGGCATGTGACATTTCCGTTTCAGCAACCACTGCTGTACCCTGGGGACAAGCACCATCTTAAGGCTCCTTGAGCAGGCTGGGATATGGCTGGGTGACATTCACTGCCTTGCGCTGTGGATGTGTGAGACTTAGATTAACTGTGACAAGCTTTGTTTAATATACAGAAATCAACACTGGGGGAAAAGAATGTGAGGCTCAGCATTGCATGTCTACTTCTTCAGTTTGGTCTGCAATGGAACTTGAAGACTTTAGGAGGCAATGTAATAGCAGGCCTTGGAAGAACCTCAAAGGAGCACTCAGTCGATGCTGGCACAGCCTCTCCACAGGAGCTGTTTTTCTCTATTCTGGCTCTGCCTTTGGACCCAGCAGCTGCTCATGGTGCCAGGGACTGGTCAGGGCCAACAGGAAGGCAAGGCTAGAACCTCTGAGCACAAAATGGGGCTTCCCAGGCCAGGGGTATCAAATCGCTCCTTGGAAATTCCAGCCCAAAGTGAAGTGGAACATAACCATCCCCAGACTTCTGCATGGTCTGTTGATGGCTAGGAATCTACCGTCCTTTCTATCCCTGTCCCTCCTCAATTCTTTACAAATTTATTTATCTATCACTTTAATGACAATAACTAATCTACTAAATAGTGATTAGTATTAAAAATTTGACACTAGCTGAAAGTTCTTAGATTGATTAATCTACTTGGAGGAAGAGAAGTTAAACTAAAATAGCAGGCTTCTCTCTTTAAGGAAGATGATGTTCCATGCTGAAGTGGGAAATCAGTTGTTTGGAATTCTTTCTGGTGAAATATGAAATTGGAACAACTAGAATTGGCAACTGGGATCAAAAAGAAAGATTAAGCCAAAAAAATCTACTTGGAAAATTAGAAAATAAAGCCAGAAAATTCTGAAAGGCCCATTAAACAGCCAGTTTCTTAAATATGCATTTGCACAATTTTTCTCCTGTCAGTCATTACTGTCCTAAACATTTCAGCCCATAAAATGGAGTCTGTTTTCCCAGGATTTAGGGAAGGCACTTCTATACCTTTCACTATGCTTTGTTTCATGATTCAACAACTCTGTGAGTCAGTAAGTTCTTCCTTGTGTCTGACCTAAATCCTGCTTGCTGTGAGATGAGAACAATTTTCCTGAGATCAGAGCTGAGCAGTCTCTGTTCCTCTGCTCTCCATTCATGATAAATTTCCTCAGAGGAGGATATTCAAAGCCTTACCTTTTGAGGACCTTATCCCGGTCACTGTTGTGAAAGACAAGAAACTTGGAATATCCATTTCGGAAAAAGACCTCCAGGGCAATGTCCTATAAAAAGAAACAAATCCCTTTCAGTGCTCCTGAAGTTTCCTGGAATGGAGATGCCCCCAGCTGAAATGGCCACTGGCAGTAAGTCATTTGGTTCTCTGTCACCAGCCCTTCCTGGTTCATCCTTCAACCTCCCACAGGGATATGAAGACCTTGGTGACAATGTTTGGGTCTCTGTGGAACTGGTACATGGGCAGGGGGCCTCGGAGTTCCTTTGGCTGAGGCAGGAAGCAAGAGCCCCACGCCCAGGACAAGCAAGGAGCAGACAGAGGGAGGACAGTGCCCAGTGACATCTTCAAATACTTTCACTTCCAGGTCACGGGTTTGGTTTCATGAACCGGAAACACTGGTCACCTTACCAGAAACACTAGCTCAACTGGTTGGGTGGGTGCAGCAGCCCCCAATCCGTGTGGTTCCATATGACCTATAGACTTGAAGGCAGAGGGCGCTTCACTAAGCCAGTTTCATTGAGCCATTTGAATGTGGCTATGCTGACATAGCAAGGGTGTTTTATTAATGCCTAAAGGAACTCTGCACAATTCACTCTTTTTTTCTTTTCCCTCCTCTGTCCCTCTCTCCCTCCCATCTATGGAAATAACAGACTTGGAATAGCCACAGAGAGCATCTACATGTGGGATGAGCCTGAGATAAGATAGAGGTGGAGAGAATTCCCACAGCTGGAGGAAGGGGTTAGGTCTGGGCCTACAGGAACAGATGGGTGGGTCGGCCTCAGAGATGCTCCATCCAACTACAAAGTTTGGTCCTGCTTAATCCCGCTGGAAGTGCACTCTTCAAGTCCAGCTCACGAGGCTCCTGAGCAGAGGGAAAGTTTCTGTAATGATAATACAGACATCTCTCCTCTGCGGGTGCACATGAGATCCCGGGGCTTTCTTCCCCACAAATAGAAATATAAATACCGTACAAAGTAGATGATGAATAAAGACTATGTGGCTTCCCCCAGCAACCATGAGTGCCCAGACTCTGACTTTCTCCTGAGAGAATTCCAGAGAAACAGGGGCCTTGCTCACAAAGCTCTCTCCAGCCCCATCCCACTTGGCCAAGCTCACAAGGCCTTCTACTTCTGGCTTCCACCGCTGTCAGGCTAACCAACCATCTGGAAAGAATCACCATTTACTGGGAGGAAAAAGCCACTTACTTTACCTCTTTTCTATTATACATAACTATAAGGTAGACATATTCCTTAAAAAAATAGTTTTTGAGGACTTACTTTTGCCAAAAATTGTGCCAAGTGCTAAATTTGTAATGGTGGGAAAGATGAGACATGGTCACCTGTTCACTGAAATGGAAGTCTGGAGAGGTGCCCAAATGTGCTCTAGTGGCAGAACCGTAACTGGGACTAGACCACGCTGGCCACACAGCCCAGCAACTTCAGGGAGGGGCTTCTTCCATGCAGCACTTTCTAGCTCACTCTCCTTGCAAAGAAGCACACTAAGGTCAGGCAATATGAGAACCAACGTTTCGTGGTGAAATCACTGGAGAAGGAGGAAGAGAGATGGTCAGATTCCAGCAGCTTGCTGGACCCTCGCAGGGGGGAAGCTAATCCTTTCTAGAATCAGCCCTCCTGAAAGGCCTCCCTGAGTTTCAGTTGCAGAGAAGAGCAATGAGGCCTCCTGCAGGAGGCTCACTTGATGAATTACACACCCAAAGACACATACAAATGAAAGGCACCTCTGTTACTAGGTTCACTACGGCTAAACACTGGCCTTAGTAGAACAGAGACCAGGTGGAGAAGTGGGGGAGGGGTCTGGGCCCCTCCCTCCCTTCCTACAGGGGTGGTCCCTCACCTCTTCCTCTGCCACGCCTGGGAGGCTGAGGGCACCCATGAGCTTCCCTGGGTGAGGTTGCCCTGGGGAAGGCCAGCAAGGGTTCCTGAGTTCCTCTTCCTTCCTTTGCTACTAAGGCGATGCTTGTGAACTGCATCCTACACCTGAGGCGAGAAGCCTTAGGTAGTGACTAGGGCAGGGCTGTCCCTCTGAAGGGGCTCAGCTCTGTTAGCACCTGGTGAACCCTTGAAGGCACTGGGTGGGGTTCTGGGACCCTCGCTGGAGGGGACAGTCAGGGGGTCTCTAAACCACATGGCCAGGAAAGGACCAGGAGCTGGGAGACAAGTGAGGCTGTGGGAAAGGCAGAGGGGAGGAGCGGCAGAACCAGGCAGATGGGCACTCAGCTCTCTCACCAGCTCTGCCCTGAGGCAAAAGAGCTGCCCTGTCCTATATTTCCAAATCTCTAAGGCAGCTCTGGGACATGCCAAGGGGAAAATGAAGCAAAGAGGCTGGATCCTAAATGATACAAGCAGAAAGAGAAGGGTCCAACAGCCAAATGGCAAGAATGGGAGAGAGAGTGAATGAAGTGGGAACTCAGGCCGGGGAACGGCCCAGCATGGGCTCAGGGAGTCACAGATGTGTCCCAAAGGGCGCTGGCCTGTGCACAGGTGTGAAGGGGTCACGGAGGTGTGTCCCTCACATTTGGAGGCACTGGAGCAGCTGTCCCAGGAAGGGATGGCTGTCCCTCTTCCTGCTCCTGAGGCTCACCTGCAGGAGGAAGCGTGCCAGCCGGAGCTCCCTGATTTCACCATAGCTGTGACGCTGGCACAAGTAATGGTCAGAGGACCTGTCTTTGCTGCACATGTTGAAAATGAATGGATCGCTGATGCTGAAAAGGAAACAAGACATGCAGTGAGGGTGCGTCTGGCGGGCTCGGTCCCTTACCTTCCCAGGGTCCCACCTGAGCTTCTGGGGACACACTGGTAGGCTGCAGTCACTGCTGACTAGGGTGCCAGCACCCACTGAGCTGCTAACCCCTTCTGAGCACCCGCCAGTGTCAGCCCTTCCCTGAGGGCTAGGGTGGGACATCAGCCTCACTGGGAAAGGGGTCAGCAAGGCCAAGAGGCAGCCTCCAGGGTAGACAGTGGCACCGGCTGCAGGGCTATAAGAAGGCTCCCTGGGGTTAAAAATGGGTCAAGGGGTGTGGGTAAAATTTTAACATTTCCAGAATATCTGGCCATGCTTTAGTTCATTTGCGTATCCTCAGGAGTGGAGAGAAGTTCATCTTCATATCAATGGGTAATTACCTGGGCAACCAAGGGTGTGTCTGAACCTGACAGGTTAAGGGGAGGGGCTGGCTTGCTTGCTGGCTTCTTTCAGAGCAGAGGAGAAAGATGACTCTGGACTGTAGTTTGTAAGCAATAAACGGGTTTTAAACTTTATTCCTCCCTTTGACTGATTTCGGTTTTTAGAGGTATTTTGCCCCAGGATTTCCTCTCCCCGGATTTGCAAGGGGTTAGGGAAAGAGTGAAAGAGATACCCCAGTTATGTTTGGAGAAATTTCAGGCCACAAGGGCTTCCCTCCCTCCTGGAGCTTCCTGCAGAAAGATGGAAAGTTTCCACAAAATACCCTGTGTCTAATGTGCTCTTGGCAGATGGAGGCCACATGTGGACCAGCTCTCATTTGGGGCTTCATCTAGCATAGCATGGAAGGAAGCAGCAGACAGCCCCAGAGCCCCAGAGGGGTGCGGTAGCCAAGAGCATTGACAGGCTGAAGGCAGTGACCACAGTATCAGCAGCGGGTCCAGAGCCCTGCGCCAGAGCCAGGGGATCAGCCACCTGGAGGTGAGGCCAACAAGAGCCCCAGCGAGGCCAGGCACCCTCTCCCAGAGGACAGAGTGACCCTCCTTGGGAAGAGGGACAGGAGAGAAAGGCTCCATGAATTTGACTAAGATTTGTCCTAAAGAGGACACTTTGTGCACTGAAATTAATGGAAATACTGAAGGCAAATTCTGGAGCGCTAAGACCCCCACCCTTTAAGATCCAATCACCACCGACCAGATGGTCAACCACCCCTTAAGATCCAATCACCAACGCAGAACACACCCTACCCCTACTCCTTAAAAAAGAGCTTCCTCACCCACGAGCTACTGCTCCCTCTCTCTGGGGGCAGCCATTTTCTCTTTCAGATAATAAAATCTCTTGCGTGGGCCCATGTCTCCTGAGTCATTCTGGGGTGAAGGCGCGGTGAGATACCCTTTCAAATACATCTATGTAGACAGGTGAATTTTTTTTTTTACCACTAATTCAAAGAGCGACTTGAGAAATAAATTTGATTTCAGTTATAGACAGTTACACTTCTGAACTGAGTTTCATGGCAAATTTAAATTGTGCACATGACTACAAAAGCTCTAATCAAACACCCCTTTTAGGACATGAGAAACGAAGGCCTCCCAAGCTCTCTAGCTCTCAAGGAGCCTGTGTGTCAACCACAGACCCAAAGAGCCGGGAGCTGAGAGCCCCGGCACCAGGGCCAGGCTGTGGGGATGGGTGAGGGGGTGGTGTTTACAGCTGAGTATGGCCCTCACCACCCAGCCTCCAGGGCAGGCCGCGGGGCGGGCCTCGGGCCACACTCCCGGAGAAGCAGGGAGAGAAGTCAGGCTGTCACACAATCAAGGGTCAGTGGGGGCAGCCTGGCATCTGTAGCCCTCAGAGCTTAGACTCACTCGCTGTGCAGAATGGTCACTGCTAGGAAGGAAGGCTACCCATGCAGGACACAGCTTAAGCCATTGCTTAGCCCCTGCACAGGCAGACCTCAAGGATGTGGACTCAGGCCCTCTGCAGCTTCATTTGCCCCTTAGAACAATCCTATTAGGTCCCCTGCTCTGAGCCGCATTGCTGTAGGCTTGATCAAATATAAATGTGGCTTTGGTTCTGGATGCTTAATTTAAACCTGCTCCTGGTCAAGGCCCTTTGTCCATTATTAATATGTTCATCTGGGGCTAAGGTGAGCTTCCTCTAAGCTCCACTGATTCCCAGTGGGGCAATGATGGTAATTCTAGTTCTCACCCTTGGCTTAGGTCAAACAAAATCCCAGGTCAAGGTAGTAGAGGAAATGACAATGATGACATGCTTGCAGGGAACACCTCAGATGCACATTTGGTTGGTTTCTTTTCCCAGGCTATGAGTGAGTTCAGTGGGGCACAGATCTATGCCCATGGCTCTCCATCCTCCACGTCTTCCCTGGAGCTCTGGGCGTGCTTGCTGAGAGGCCTGGCGCCTGTCATGCTCCACAGCCTGCCAAGAATTTCCCTCTCTGTTGTTTAATCTGACACTCACAACAAACTCTTGTGTTATTACTATTCCCGTATCAGAAATGAGGAAACTGCCTTCCAAAGGGGAGAAGGGACTTTTCCAAGGTCATGTGCAACTGGATTCAAGTCCAAGTCTTCTAACTGAAGCCCAAGCTCAGTCAATGCAATTATCTTTCTCCTCTAGGGAGGAAAGGCTTGCTGGCATTTTCAGGGCTCTACCTCCCAGCTCCCTCCTTTCAGTTTACTCTCTGCTGACTGATTCTGCAACCCAGAATTCTGAAACACTGCTAGTATGAAGAAGAATATTCTGGAAAATGTTTTTATGAAGGAGCTTTTAAGAGGAAAGTAGTAATTTTTCTCCCGCTTTTAGGGATCAAATAACCATATAAGGCAAGAATGCATGGACAGATTCAAATTCTCAGGGAGACTAAATTATAAACAACATTATTGTGTTCACTGATGTAAGTCCAAAGTGGAGTTCTGTCTCCTGCCGCATAAGGGACAAAGCTGTGACTGGGGTTTCTTGCCAACACCATACTCTACATGCTCTGTACATTAAATTGGAGCTCGGGCCCTTAAGGTCAATGAGTATAAAGAAGTAGCTAATCCAAGTTCTTCTTCAGTTGGAGCTGTAGCCATAGTTCACAGGATGCTGTTCACTCTTTTGCATATGGCTACCATGATACATGCAAATTATCCAGGCTGGTCATAGTGTAACTTAATATTCATACTAGCGAAATCACAGTAAGCTAATTGATAATCATGATATTGCTTGACCTCGTCTTTGATAGTAGAAGTAGATTTCAGTCTACCATATTTCAAGTTATTTTTGAAGTTTTCCAATTATTGACAGAATTCATGCCTGAGATGTATACTCTGGAATTGATACCCACATTAGAAGTTACACAATTATTGTGAGAATTCATATTTCTGACATTCACTAGATCACAAATGGTAACAGACTTCATCTGTATCTGACACATCTCTTTGCATCTATGGAACCTACCACAGTGACTGGCACAAGACAAATTTTCAGTAAGTATTTGTTGAATTGAATTAAACAGACAAACAATGCTTTTAAAATGCTGACTTACCTGGAGTAAATATTGGACACAAAGACAGACACACAGAGAGGGAAGATCATGTGAAGACACACAGAGAACGTGGCCCTGTGACTAGGGTGATGCACCTGCAAGCCCAGGAATACCAACGGTTGCAGGGAAAAATCGGGGCTTCAGGCGGCAAGGAAGGATCCTCCCGCAAAGCTGTAGACAGAAGATGGCCCCACCAACACTTTAATTTTGATTTTCAGGCCTCCAGAACATAAGGAAATAATTTTCTGTTTTTTTAACCTACACAGTTTTTGGTACTTTGTTGTAGCAGCCCTAGGAAACTAATAACAGAGAGTCACCCTGTGCGGCCAAGAGGGGGGCTCCCACCAAAAACAAAAATAAACCTTTTGGAAACATGCTTAGTTTTTGAGGAACTCTCCGAAGTATACAAAGTCCAATCACTGCTGGAGAATTCGCAGTGTTCTTGAGTTTTATTTGGGATATTTTTATGGTACATCAGAGAGGCTCTTTGAAGGTCTAATGCTCAACTGTACTCAATTTGATGTCAGTCTTTTAAAGAAACATTTCAGGGTTGACTTAGCTTTATTTTTAACTGACTTATTTATGTATCTTCTTTAGCCTCCATGGTCAAAAGAAGACTTAATCCCCATTGATCTGACATGATCTAATAGCCTGTCTCTGAGAACTGTATCTCCATGAATGCCAGCATTTTCTTAGGGCAGAAGATAAGACCACAGAGAGAAAGCACTGTCTGGTTAACAAATACTTCTTTGAGGTATGGTGACTAAAATTACTTATACAATTCCCAGATGATGTGCCAGTGTAGTAATTTGTTCTCACTACACTCCTACTTGCATCCTGGAAAAGTACATTTCTGGACATGGGAAGTCTCCTTTGTCATTGCAAATTGAGTGAGTACAACCTGACTACTGGGCTTCTATTAAAAGTGCAGATACAGTCAATTTGATCATGATTAGATGCACCTCATAAACACAATTTACCTAATCAATAAGATCTTATCTAACACTAACTCGATTTAAGTCAGAGCTGGTCAGTGAAGCAATGGATTATGCAAGTCATTAGACAGCATGCCATGCATACAGGTAGAGTGGAAAGCTTTCATCAGCTCTCAAAAAGGCAAGTCTCAAGACCCATTGTCCATATTGATCAGTATCAATAAAACATGAGCAATAAGATGGGATGAGTGTGCCAAGTATTAATTATGTTCCTTCTGCCTTGGAAAAGCACAGAAGACTCACAGCAATCAGTGAACGTTTGGTATAAATAAAAGATGGAAATTAGCAGAAAGAAAAATGTCAAGCATTTTAAAGCAAATCTAAACCAAAGGAGGTGGGCTGACATCCATTCTCCCACTCTCCTTAAACTCTACTTCCTGACATAGCCTGGAGATGATGTGACAACTGGGAGTTAAAATTATTAGTTATTGTCAGGTAAGACTCTGGTTCTTCTGTCAATAGTCTAACAGTGGTTCTCGAAGTGTAGGCCTGGACCAGTAGCATCAGCATCAGTTGGGAACTTGTTAGAATCTTAGGCTCTACCCCTGACCTACCAAACTAGAAACTGGTATGAAAATTAGTTCCAGAAGTCTGTTCTAACAAGCCTTCAGGTGGTTTGATGTGAATAAGTTTGAGAGCCACTGGGCTGAGCAGTTATCTTGTCATTATTTGAACCTTTGCTAATCAGAAAAGTCAAGAAATCTCTATCCAAATTTCTTCAAAAGAGATGATCAAGTAAAAACATACAATTTAGCAACAGAACTTCCTGGAAGAGTACTGACAGTCAATTTGATTTTGAGTGGTTGTGCTTTATAAACACAAGAGAATTAATCAGTAAGAACTGACTGAATCCAAATAGACCAAATACACTTGATTATAAAGAAGAACCTCTGAATTATCTGGCAAGACCTCTGGTATTAGTGTAGAAATGACTCCTCAAATTTCTCCATAAATGTCACTCATCTTTAAAGACCTAGAGCTTAGCCCACATCCATAACTCACCTTCCCTTACCACGTTAACCTCACATCACCAAGTGTGAACCCTGATGAGTACTCCCTGTCATATGCTGTCCCAGGATGATAGTATTCTCCAGACTTTTTCCATCAGACTGTTTATGCTGCTGATTGACTCTTGGCCTTACTCAGCATGAAGGGGCAGTTTTACATAGAATGAGCAATCAACAAACTGTGGAATGAGTAAGTGGATTGGTCTGGACTCAATCACCCAAATAATGTAAGAAGAGATCGTCTTTGTCTGATGTGCATTCCAGCTCAGGACAGGTGAGGAGTTGCCGCTCAGTGAGCATTCCAGATTTTAGCCTTGGAGAACCACAGTCATGGCTGCTTGTGCCTTCAGGTTTTCCTGTTTCACCACATGGTCCAGTTTCAGGCCCAAACCTAAACCCACAGTAGCAATAATGTGGCAAGGGTTGGAGGGTGGGTGGCTGAAAAGGTAGGTGAAAGCTCAGGGCAGAACCTGCTGGGAGAAGTGGAACTCACTTGGATAAGCAGTGGCGGGTGCAGTAGACATCACCCACGGAAGAGAGTGTGAAGTTCTCACAGATGTAGAAGTGTTGGTGGCCCAAGAGCAGGACACCTTCAGAGACTAGGTGGCCCTGCACGATCACCAGAGAGTGCTTCTGCGTCACCTAGAGGGAGAGAGTGCCAGAGTCAGGCTGTGTGCATGTGAATCATGCCCATCATTCTTATGCAGGGCAGGAGGGCAATGACCGGTCACCCACTAGGCACTTGGAGGTGGGAGCAGCACCCTGTAAGAAAGGCAGAGTCACTGTCCCTGAGCTGCCCTGCTTTTCACAGTGTAAACAGCACTTGTAAACCGACACCCTGTCTGGTTATTTAATTCACCCAAGGCCACCCAACCCCATCAAGGCATTTGGATGGGTGTTCACTGCTGTATTAAGCATGTTGACATTCTCTCTCACTTTAAGCCTGTCCACACCCCATAGACAGGCAAAACATTCCTCAGTTAACAGCAGGGAAAGTTTTTGAGGTATAAGGTGAAGGAACTTGTCCAGGGACCAGGTGGTAAATGGCTGAGCCGGGACAGGGACAAGGCCTCCTAGAACCACAAGTGGGAGACTGTCCCTGCGAAGCCAAGGTTAGTCCAAGGTGTGTGCAGAGGAGGCACGTGCTCTGCCCAGATGCCTCCTTTCAGGCTCCAGCTCACATCCTTTCTGAAGCTGGATATGTTGGCAGCCTTCCAGAATCTTCTCAGTAATAAGACCATCTGGCCAAAGGTAATGTCCCCTTCCCCACGGCAGTCAGTACCGCAATGGCCAATGCAGATAGCAAGGGCCAGACCCTTTGGGTCAATTCAGGCCAACTCTGAAGAGCCATCCCAGAACTCACGCTCCAGGGGAATCAGCTGAGGCCCTCACTGAGTCTACATCAGAGTCCTACTGCTCCCTCTACCCAGTCCTGTGACCTCACTTCCAATTAACTTCTTGAGTGCACACATGTGCTCATAGCTGGCTTCCCAGGGAGCCTGGCCTAGGAAATGTCTTTGAATGGTCCAGAGTCTGTCATGAAGGACTATGTGGGTCCTCATATGGAGTAAAGGACCTCATATTTCTGAAGGAACAAGTGAGGGAATAAATGAATTCTAGTTGACAGAAGCCCAAATGCACCAAGAGTAAGGCCAAGGCCAGCATTTTCTCATGGTAATTCTGAGCTAATTCCAATTACAAGAAAAGGGGAACTGGTATTTTTTGACTACCTACCATATCCCTATTGTAAACATTTTATCCATATTAACCAGTATAATCCTAACAAGTGACAGGGACATTTTACTATTGGGGAAAAGAAAGGGAGTCCCGGAGGATAAGAATCTTACCAACGATCAATTACCTAGTAAGTGGCAGAGACTGGGATTGAATCTAAGCTCCTTACTCACTTTTGTGAGCAAAGGTGAGGCTTCAGTGATGAAACCCAGAAGGCAGGCCCTGAACACCAGTTCCCCAACTCCTGCACCAAACTGGATTAGTCAAAGTCAGGGTCACGAACAGAAAGTGATGACTCATCAAGGGTTTTGTTCAAAGACAGCATTAACCATGATGGTGAGGACTAGCCAAGAGTCTTGGTTCCTAGAACCCCAGCCTGCTGCAGGCAGCTGGCTCTCCTGGCCTCTCCTGCCCTCAAACCACCTTCAGAGACACAGTTCAAGGTGGACTCATTTCCAACTCCGCTCACTCATCCAGAAGGTCATCTATTCAACATCTTGGGATTTGGTACCTACGACATGCCAGGTTTTGGGGACAGAGCCTACCCTCATGAGACTTACCATCCAGTGGGGGAAGATGGATAGCAGGCATACACATCAACCAATAAACCATTACACATTGTGAGACATGCTGAAAGAGGACAAACAGGGTGATGACAATCAGGCAGAGAGAAATTTGGAGGGGACACTATTTTGGACAAACCCTGAGGCTTGAAGAATGGAAACAGGGCAGCTGTGGGAAAGCCTGAAGAAGAGCTTTTCCAGGGAAAGGACATCCAGTCCAGAGCCTAGAGGCAGGAACGGCAGATCTGGGGGCAGAAGGGAGGTCCACGCAGCTGAGATGTAGTTGGAAAGCAAGCTTGCCTAGATCACAGGGGACTTAGATGCCTTGGTGAGACTGCTGGGCTTTATTCTGGCTGCAATAGAAAAGGGTTTCTTCTGAGAGCTGATACTGGCTGCTTGGTGGAGAGTGGATTAGAAAGAGCTGAGTGCCTGGAGGGCGATCTGGCCATTTCACTGTCCTGCGGAGGGGCGATGGTGTGGGATGTGGCAGTGGAGAAGTAGGAGGGAGAGAAGTTGGACTCCAAACAAGAAGAGGTGGAAGGAACAGAAACTGCTACTAAACAACTGTGGAGAAAAAAAAAAAGGAAATATTGGGATATTGGGGATAAATGTCTCCTTTGGGATTTAAGCATGAATAGAACCCTCTACTTTCCCCGGAGGTCTTCCCCAGAGGCAACTGGCATCACTACTGTATGGTATCAAAGGGTAGCAGAGTTACCAGCCCAAAATATGCCTTGTGGCATACAGATTATTTTGAGTTAAAGATGCTTGAAAAACAGCAGGGACAAGAAGGGAGCTCTGGCCTTCACTTTTCTTCCCAAATTCAGGGGCTAAAACTCCCAAGTGGAAGGAGTCTTCCCTATGCCAGGAGGAAAAGAACATTCTTATCAAAGAAACAGGGAGTCCAGACAGAGAGAAATCTGTATAAACCCTCCTTGGTAAATGAACCCGTATCTTCCTTTAGCCTCCCTATATATTTAGTTGCTTTTTCATGTTTACTACTCTTTGTGCAACCTAAGCTCTTAGGCCTAACCACTTTTTAGGTATTTATTTTCCTGTGAAGATTCCCATGTTCTAGTAAAAATAAAAAAATTTAAACATAAATCTTTTCTCTTATTAATCTATCTTCTGTCAACCTAATTCTCAGGCCTAGATGAGACCTTAAACGGTAAGGGGTAAGTCTGACCTCTCCTGCAGTATGTACTTTTAAGGACATTCTTCAGAATTCGTATACTCACTGTTACTCACCTAGTTTTTTCTCTTGATGGCCCATTTTGGAGACCCCTCCAACTCACTTTTTAAAGAGTTGTCTCATCAGTTGGTGTGGACTATTTGCTTGTGTGGCTGTGTTATAACTTACTTGACCAACCCCACTGATTTAGTTTGTTTGCAAATGTGTTGACATACAAGTGATCCGGCAGTGACCATCCTTATATGTATGTCACTTTGAACACACAAGCAAATCTGAAGGGTCAAATCCCAGAAGTAGAATTATAGATCAAGGGTGTGGGAATTTTAAATTTTGATTTGAGTGCCCCTCCTGCAAGGTAGCACTGATTTAACACCCCCATCAGCACTGTTTGGAGGGTTATGCTAGACTGTTTAACTTTTTCTCTTCTACTTTTATACAGAGAAGACTCCAACCTCAAGTCCATGTGGTGAGATACAGAGCCATGGCATGAGCTCTGGCGTATGCACCTCCACAACCTGTTCCCTCCTTGTGACCTCCACCCTTGTGCAACCTCTGTGGTGTCAAGAGCAGGGGCTGGGGCACATTCCTATGGTCTCCTGGTGTTTTCCGTTGGGGAGAATTAAATAATAACCAGAATAAACCAAACCACAAGAAAAATGCCTGGTGAGAGCTGGGTTAATAGCTTAAAAATTGATTCTGCTAGAAACAAATGGCATTTTAAAAACTGGAAAATGAACCCAAGTGAACTATTACCTGCTCTTCCATTTAAATTAGCCCTGGGAGGGCTCCATCCCCAAGTTTACTCATGATTAAGAAATCCCTCATGCTATGAGTCTATCGATCACTTTAGAAAGAATGGAACTTCTGCTTCATAAGTAGAATTTTTTTTAAGATTGGCTAGATGATTTATTATCATTCCTGATAGATGGGTAAAAAAGTATGTGGCCACACCTGGCCCTNTATATATTTAGTTGCTTTTTCATGTTTACTACTCTTTGTGCAACCTAAGCTCTTAGGCCTAACCACTTTTTAGGTATTTATTTTCCTGTGAAGATTCCCATGTTCTAGTAAAAATAAAAAAATTTAAACATAAATCTTTTCTCTTATTAATCTATCTTCTGTCAACCTAATTCTCAGGCCTAGATGAGACCTTAAACGGTAAGGGGTAAGTCTGACCTCTCCTGCAGTATGTACTTTTAAGGACATTCTTCAGAATTCGTATACTCACTGTTACTCACCTAGTTTTTTCTCTTGATGGCCCATTTTGGAGACCCCTCCAACTCACTTTTTAAAGAGTTGTCTCATCAGTTGGTGTGGACTATTTGCTTGTGTGGCTGTGTTATAACTTACTTGACCAACCCCACTGATTTAGTTTGTTTGCAAATGTGTTGACATACAAGTGATCCGGCAGTGACCATCCTTATATGTATGTCACTTTGAACACACAAGCAAATCTGAAGGGTCAAATCCCAGAAGTAGAATTATAGATCAAGGGTGTGGGAATTTTAAATTTTGATTTGAGTGCCCCTCCTGCAAGGTAGCACTGATTTAACACCCCCATCAGCACTGTTTGGAGGGTTATGCTAGACTGTTTAACTTTTTCTCTTCTACTTTTATACAGAGAAGACTCCAACCTCAAGTCCATGTGGTGAGATACAGAGCCATGGCATGAGCTCTGGCGTATGCACCTCCACAACCTGTTCCCTCCTTGTGACCTCCACCCTTGTGCAACCTCTGTGGTGTCAAGAGCAGGGGCTGGGGCACATTCCTATGGTCTCCTGGTGTTTTCCTTTGGGGAGAATTAAATAATAACCAGAATAAACCAAACCACAAGAAAAATGCCTGGTGAGAGCTGGGTTAATAGCTTAAAAATTGATTCTGCTAGAAACAAATGGCATTTTAAAAACTGGAAAATGAACCCAAGTGAACTATTACCTGCTCTTCCATTTAAATTAGCCCTGGGAGGGCTCCATCCCCAAGTTTACTCATGATTAAGAAATCCCTCATGCTATGAGTCTATCGATCACTTTAGAAAGAATGGAACTTCTGCTTCATAAGTAGAATTTTTTTTAAGATTGGCTAGATGATTTATTATCATTCCTGATAGATGGGTAAAAAAGTATGTGGCCACACCTGGCCCTGTATATGATAAA